AGAAAACATTGCCCCTTGAAGCAGTGTTTTGAAAAAACCAATAGTAGCAATAACTGTGGAAAATGTGAAACAGAATTAGAGATTTTGCCACATTTGTAATAGCTAGCTTGTTCCTTGTGGCCAGCCCAGTAACTTGTTTCGGTGTGATCACTTACAAAGGGCAGTTTATAATTACAAGTTTTCTAGAAAGAATGTTCCCACCTTTCCCACCTCCCACCCAGTTGAATTTCAAGTAAAATTTAATAATCTAGCTTGGCTTTCCGAGGCTACGAACAATTCCAAGGCAATCCACCCCACAGACGGGGCTTTCACATTGACACAAATGTTTCTAATTGGCCTGAACAAGTCGTTAATGGGAGAAAGACTGCCTGGGGTATGTGTGGGTGTCTGTGTGTGTGTATGTGCCATGCTTGTGTTGTGTGTGTGGGTGCGTGTGTACTCACACAAGCACACATTCCCACATGATTCTGAGACTGACGATGCGAGAATTATCTGGGGTTCACACAAGATGCGCTGTGATAAAAAAAAAAATATTTGAGCTAACTGCAAAAGAGCCTGGCACCCTGGCACTCAGCAGTGGCATCCTGAAGTGGAGAGGGGTGGACGGCTAGTTCCCTACTGGGACTCAGTGCCAGGGCAACAGGCCCACGCTCCCACCGGGAACAGCAAACAAGCAGCTGGTGAAGCAGGCTGATGGAACGAAGACGACCTTTAATTGACTGAAAACAGCTGTGTGCAGAGCCCTCGACAGAAAGGCAGTCGAATCTTCCTCTTCTCCCTTGTAGTCTCACTCAGTCACAGCCCTCGTTTTTTAGAGCTGGAAAAAAGTATCTGTTTATTTGTTCATCCACATCCTTCTCACACCCTTGGCCTTTCCTGGCATGCGACAGTGTAGACAGTGTATCGTTTAAAACAAGACACCTCTCAGCTTCGCAAAGAAAGCTCACTCTGCAAAATACAGCTTGGCCTCACTTGTTGATCATTCATCAGACCTCAGAGAGTGGGGTGCATTTATCCAAACTGGGGGTCTATTGTTGGTTCACGGAGCATGTGCTCCCTTCGGCATGACAGCCCCGGGGAGCAGCAAACTGGTCTGAAGTGGCACTGGCGGTGTGGGAGAGGACTTGTTCGGGGCAATTGGATGATTGGTTGCCTTCAGCTGTGCTGGAGGCTGAGGGCTGGAGGATAAACTCAGCCGAGGCCTGAGGTTTTCTAAAGGGAGTCAAAGTCCTCATTGCCATACCGAAGTGTAGTTTTTCTCTCCACTGAGTCTTAAAAGCCCTGGTTTGATGTATCTTCCATTTACTTCAGACAGCAAATAACAAAATGCCCAGTGCCGTGCTGGCACGGAGTCAAAACCTAATAAATATTTGCTGGGTGAATAAATAGTTAAATGGAATGTTATTAGCGTTGCTAGTGTTATTGCCTTGGCTTGGAACATACAAGAACAGACTTGAGGCAATCAAGTAATTTCCCTTCATCGGTACAAGCTAATTATTCGAGAGATGAAGATCGGGTGCGCGGTATGTATTTGTCAGGCTCCATTTGCTCCTAATTAAAGGTGGGAAAGGCAGTTCAAGCATCGAAGAGACAAGACAATGGCCCACTCCAGCACAGCTTTTTGGGTTTTCCATGCCTTGATTTCAAAGAGACATGAAGACGAATTTATTGTGCCCCCTCTTTCAGCCATTTGCTTCCTTTTTCTCTGCCATTTTCTAGAGGGCAGGCTGGGTATTGGGGGGCAGGGATAGGTCCTTTAATATCACTTTTAAGGGTCAACTGCCTCCGTGACTTCTGCTAATATATAATATATCATCCTCCTGACAAAAATCATATGTGGTATTCCAAGACAAAAATGCTATGTCTCCACTCTAAGCCTTGGAATTACCACTCATTCGTTCATATATTAGTTTCATATGTAATTATGTATTGGTTTCTGTACTGAAGCTGGTAAGTTAACACTTCACAAAATCCAAAAATGGTTCTATTCTCATGATCCAGTGATGAATCAATATTAATGGAATAACCATCCTAAAAGTTATAGGAGCAACATACGCACTTTTTTTTCTAAAAGGTGTATGACTGTACTGAGAACACACGTCATTGGGAATTGACTCTGAGAAGAAGGCAGGGAGGATTTTACTAGTGAGCAGCCTGGAGCTAAGCATCATGTCTTCAAAATGTCTGAAAAAAAAAAAGGAAAAGCCAGCTCAGACAAGAGCCATCAGATACTGATGTGGCTGCCCGGGGACAGCATGGCCTGGCTGTGGCTTATCATATCTGTTTTGGTATGAGTGGATATAAGAATGAATTCCTTAAAAAATACAAGGGGAGAGATGATGCCCAACCCTGGATGTTTCTGTGTGGTAGAAGACCTCCTAGAAATTCTCGTCAGCCACCCTCCTTCCTCCTACATACAGAGGGCCTTCCATTCCCAGCTGCCTGCTGAGTACCAGACACACGTGTCTGCTTTTGCAACTGGCAGCGTGACCTCTGTCTTGTCAACTCTATAAACTCTTCCTTTTTGTGATGGGGAAGTACCATGACACAACTAATTCTGCTTCCAGGAGAGGGTGAATGGCTTCTCAGACTCACTTTCCCATTCAGAGAAGGGCGCCTGCCCCTTACCAGCAGCCATGCCTGCACATGTGCCTTCCCCTTGTATTACCCATGTAGCACTGGTGTGAAACCTAGGGACTTAATATTTATAAGCATAGAATGAGGACAAGCCCGGGATCAATTAATGCTTGATTTTTCATATTAGCTACTTATATAAAAGGGGTTAAAGTAACAAAAAAGCAACATATAACAACCTTTGTCGAAATCATTGTCTGAGGGCACATGCTAGCTACAGAGGAAGGGCACTAGGGCACAAGGCAAATGGCTTACTTTTTCACACAGTACTCTGGTACCAGTTGAATTTTTTACTATAAAACTGCATGCAAATTTATGTGTGCATGCATGTCTGCATACTGCCCAAGCTGGCCTTGAACTTGAAAGTTTCCTGCCTCATCCTCGCCAGTGCTAGAATTACAGGCCCACTATGTTTTTATAATGAAACTTGAGGCTCATCTAGGTACGATGCAGGAAGTCAACTCAAAACACAACTTCAACATAATCTCTTTCATATATACTTTTCTCCCCTCTCTTTTAAATTTGAAAACAGCATTCAGAGCCTTTCCGGTTAAGGGGAAAATCACTATCTGAAGTGATTCATTCCATTTCAAACACCCATTAAGATTTCTGATGTTGCTGTTTTCCCACCTGCTCCCCCCGTTCTCCGTGTGCTAACGTGGGCTTCTGGAACGCTGCTCACCCACCGCTACAAGTAACACCCTGGCTCCAAGTGGCTGACTTCATTCCACTCTTAAGCATTGCTTAAATTTTTTATAATGAGCATTTTTTGTTTTGTTTTTAGAAAAACAATGACATCACCTCTCAAACACAGAGCTGAGGAGCGTCAGTTCACGTTCCTGTTTAGTAGTAAACACAGGGCCCAAGGCCTAGGCTTCGCCAGGGTTGAAGAAGCTCACCTTCCTCTTGATTGTCCTTAGCAAGTCGATGCTAAGGTTACTGCTCATGCAGAAGGGGTCTAGTGGACTCACTGGTTGCTGAAGCAAGACACAGAAGTATCTGTAATGATGATCCGTGTCCACACAGCATTCCGTCCTGTCCTCCTTTGGAGGTTCTGTATGTTTAAGATTCGGTTAGCTGAACTGGCTAAGGCGATTGGTGTGCTGGCTGGAGGAGCCTGGTGTCCGCTCTCTTCTGAAGGCTGTTCTCCACCCCAGAGATGTTCAGCACTCTCATCTGATAAGAACACAAATCTGGAGAGAAATTGAGCTCCCTAGCCTTCCTGAAGCTAACGTGAGCGAGCTTTGCCAGTTGGATTCTCATATCCCCCAGCAAACATTTTGGAGGAGTAACTGCATTGCAGGGTTTTAGCACACCAGGGACCCACAGGATTAGGATAAAGGCCCACACAGAAAACAAGACTGATCCCAGCCCATAGGTCAAATCGTACTTTGTGCTCTGACTTTGTACATCTCATAAGCTGAGAGTGATTTTGACATTTTAAGTGACTGGGCACAAAAATAAACAAAACAAGAAAACACTTCATGTTGTGAATGTTCTATGAAATGCCATTTTCCTATGCACAGTAAAGCTGCATGGCAGAGCAGCAAGTGTGTTCATTTACACCTCCTCGACAGCTGCTTGGGAGTTAGAATGGCTGACCTGAGAGAGGGAAGTCCACAGTGGGGTTGTCTGAGAACGTGAACTTGCCGCTGCTCTAGGTTCAGGTGGGAAGCTACCGGTGTGCTTGCCTGTTTTACAATGAAGGAAGTTTCTTGGTGGGCATGTACCTTGGTGCCCATCACAGAAGGTGCTGTGCAATACCACAGACCATTCTGTTTTCCTTGCTTCATACTTAGAAGAAAGTTGCAGTGTGAGAAAAATATGGTTATCAGGAGGGGTGGCGAGAAATATCATGGCAAAAGTATTTCCTGTTGCCTGATGGACCGCAGGCAGCTCGGAATAACAATACTCATTTTCCTGCATGCTAACATTTGATGTGATCTCTTCCTTGCATCTGAGAAATATTTTGAGAGACAAAATCTTTTATACTTGTGGTTCCTGCATATTGGTGAGAATGAGAAGCCTCTACTAATGGCGTTATTATATTAAATGATTTCATTTCGTTTGTGCTTACATTTTGCTACCAATAGGACATGATGAGTACAGTAGGAAATACCTTTTAGTAAACCTTGATAGGATGTCTTATACATTTGATATGACAGTTGAGTTAACTGAGCAGACATTGACCCTCTACCTATCATATTATTTTTTAAAGTGAGATTCTACAAAGCTACCCACTCAAAAATCTACCATAATTATAACACCAAAATATTATAAAACTAAATGTATGAGTCGTTTTGCTTCAAAATCTCCACCACGTGCATAAGTGACCTCGGTTTTCCTTTCTGTTTTTCTTGTTGCAGAGATTGAAGGCGGCATTGACTCACCATCCCGCTGCCATGTCGAATGGGAACATGAGCACCATCGGACACATGATGGAGATGATGGGCTCCCGGCAAGACCAGACACCACACCACCACATGCACTCGCACCCGCATCAGCACCAGACACTGCCTCCCCACCACCCCTATCCGCACCAGCACCAGCACCCTGCACACCATCCCCACCCACAGCCTCACCACCAACAGAACCACCCGCACCACCACTCCCATTCCCACCTTCATGCACACCCGGCACACCACCAGACCTCGCCACACCCGCCCCTGCACACTGGCAACCAAGCACAGGTAAACTTTCACCAGCATTTCTTCCTTCTTTTTTGCATGCCAACCGCGCAAGCACTAACTCCACAGTCATCTCTTGCTACCTTGTTCAATACGCCTAGCTTCTCCAGCTGACATGCTGGAGAGCTCTGTCCGTTTCCTAGGAAGTGTCCTTGAACAATAAGATGTGATTGGGTCATAATTTCTATAAATAATGTGGTAAATTTCCGCTTCAGTCTCTAGGGAACAAATGAGAACTAGAAGTTCTTAAAATCCTGGGTTTTTGCAAGTGTGTCACAAGGTTTATCCTTAAAAAAATAGAAAATATTGATAGGAGAATTAAAAGAAACTTAAACAGGGCTAGAGAGGTGGCTCAGCATTTAAGAGCACTGGCTCCTCTTCCAGAGGTCCTGAGTTCAATTCCTAGCAGTCCCACATGGTGGCTCACAGTCATCTATAGTGGGATCTGATGCCCTCTTCTGGCCTGCAGGTGTACGTGCAGACAGAGCACTCATCAAAAGAGAGGCGGGAAGAGAGAGAGAGAGAGAGAGAGAGAGAGAGAGAGAGAGAGAGAGAACAGTTAAAAAGCCGGAGAGGCAATGAGAAAGCTTGTCAAGGGATGCTAGGGTCCAAGGTGCTGTTGAGATGGTGAGAAGTGACTCACCCCTGACTAGGAAATACTCTGGAGAAAGCAGAGAGGCAGCCAAACTCCGCAGACAATCAGACCAAGAGAAAGGTCAGATCCCAGGGGTGCAGTCAGTAGGGCTGACCAGAAAGAGGACAAGCACGCAGACCGCCCTTAAAGAGAGTTGGGGGACCAGGCAGACATTATGTCACCCAGGCTAAGAAGACAAGCAAGTCCCTGTACAGACCTGGGTTGTCCAAGAGTGCGGTGAGCCCCAGCCACTTGGGGCTTCGAGCAAGATGACCTTCGGCGTCTCCTCCACCCATTCCACTCTGCCCAGTTCTAACCAGCTGGGTCAGAATGGCACTGGAACTAGGGTCTGCCAAGGAATGCTTATTCACTTTCTCCTCTGCTGTCTGCCTCTGGAGAGACACAAGCTCTCAGACCAGGCATGACTTTGAGCTCTCCAGCTCCCCGCCCTAACAAACCCAAGCCCAGAAAGGTAAAGGGGTGGGGTGGGGGGAGACAGTCACAGGCAGCTTACTAACCGATCTGTTAGATAAACTTAATTTTACAGAGACCCTTAGTGGGGCTTTACATAGCGAGATGCGCTATACAGCACAGGACCAGCTCTTTTTTTTGACTGATTTTGGAGACTGTGAACAGAGATATAGATTAACCTCCCACAAACCTTGGCTTTCCCATTTGCCAACAGCGATGAAATAGACTCTCATGACTATGAAGCCACAGAGACTCTGAAAAAAGTTTTCAAAACATGTTATTCAGGATCAGTTCTAAACTTAAATGATTCAAAAGAAGTTTAGTGAGTAGTTCAGTAACAACAGGTTCCCCTAGAGTGTATTTCTATTTACATTTTAGTTAACTGATGTACTGGAATCTGCAAGAAAGAAAGGAAGAAAGAAAGAAAGGAAGGAAGGAAGAAAGAAAGAAAGAAAGAAAGAAAGAAAGAAAGAAAGAAAGAAAGAGGGAAAGGGGAAGGGAAGGGAAAGGAAGAGAGGAGAGGAGAGGAGAGGAGAGGAGAGGAGAGGAGAAGAGAAGAGAAGAGAAGAGAAGAGAAGAGAAGAGAAGAGAAGAGAAGAGAAGAGAAGAGAGGAGAAGGAAAGGGGCAAAGAAAACCATCTCAGGCAAAGGCAATTCTTACCCTCTGTGTTTGTTACTGAAGTATAAGGACACCAAGGTTTGGGCACCTTTCTGGGCAAGTTATTTCAAAGACAAGTTTAACAGTTCTTTTTTTTTAAATATGAAAGCCATTCATTAGCTAAGTGCCAATTAGCCAATTGCCCTGTTTCAAGTCAGTAAGTGCCCAATTGTATATGCAATTAGCTAATTGCTATTGTAATTAGCTACACCCAGAGTTTCTTTTCTAAATCCTATTCTACAAAAAAAGACTCCATATCTGGGGATCATTTATACAATATTCTACACTACCACTCTTATGTTAGATGGACCTGGCTGATCACTGACCGGATCTTGTCAAGTTCTTCAATTATTTGCTAGTCCGAACAGTAGATACAGAAATCTCTGATGGTCCTTTCTTTTTTTTTTTGAATATTTATTTATTTACTTATTATGTATACAATATTCTGTCTGCAGACCAGAAGAGGGCACCAGACCTCATTACAGATGGTTGTGAACCACCATGTGGTTGCCGGGAATTGAACTCAGGACCTTTGGAAGAACAGGCAATGCTCTTAACCGCTGAGCCATTTCTCCAGCCCCCTCTGATGGTCCTTTCAAATCTGAGAGTCGAAGTTAATTTGGAACAAATTCTGTCTTCTTCACATGGCCATTTATTATTTTTTTTTCAATCAAAATTTGCCAAGCAGCTCGGCAGAGAGACTTCCATTTTGAACATAAAACACTGAGTCACGGTGGTTAGCAGGAACACAGATTCTTGTTTTAGGCTGTGTCTTCAAATCTTCCCGGCTGCCTGTGATTTCCATGCCCAACTTAGGTGTGAATTTCAGGAGCCCAGTGACACTTCATGGTGACCAGGGTCCCCAGGCTAAGCCCTGAACCCGCACTGGGCCTCAATGCCCCCTCAGTTAGCACACAGGGTAAAGGTACAGGAAAGATGTCTGAGTGTGAGTTTGATTGACGTCAGGGGAGTAGTACATGGCACTGAGAAGTCATTGCTCTGAAGAATAAAATCCAGTTCTGCTTAATTTCATCTTGGGTAGTAAGAGATCTCATAAGAGAAAAGCAGACCTGAAAGCAGCCGGCTGCATAGAGCCAGCCTGCTTCCCCCTGCTGCCCGGCTCCGTAAGAGCCAGCTCCGGGGTCAGCAATGGAGATGACACACTTTGCTACATCTCAGCCAATGGCAGAGATTATGTCATAGGCAGCCACCCCTGTGAGTAAGACCTTAGAAAACTGACTTACTTCATGATCCCTCTGTGATTGGGCCGAAAGGAATTGTCAATAAAGAGTTTCAGAAAACATCTTCGCTTTAGATAAAATTACTGAGATGCTGTTCAACCGACCTCCTGAGCCTGATTCTTTTATAGTTTAGTCATAGAAGGTTTGGCAGGGTTTAGGGCTGAAATTCATCCCCATCGGTCAACTGATGTCACCCCATGGCCACTGTTAGTGCGATTACAGTCATTCTGATTGATTTTAATCATGGATGCTGGAATGTGTTAGGAAAGGGTTTTGAGCTCAGCTTTTTGAAAACTTTTTGCCTGTTATTTCTGTAGGTTAAATGTCTCTTGTAAAAACAACTTTATAGGTATTACAACCGTAAACCTGGGTGACTGAGAGGCAGGAACAGGAGGAAGGAGCGAAGTGCATTAGCAAAAGCATTAGGTGTCCAGACATATAAAGAGGAGTTGTAGAAATTTCACAAGGTACCGTGTGTCTGCTTCTTCGAGGGAAATAAAGCTGTCTGTGTGGGGGTCTCCAACCTTTCCATGTTGTGGCGTCCCACGTAGGCCTTACAAGGGGTCTCGAAGCTTAGTAAAACTTTTTAATAAAGTATGTGACCGCTCCTAGTGTTTCCTTATAATGTAGGTACGTGTGAGGCAACCTGTCCTCACCATCTAACCTACAGTGTGCAACAGAGAGGAGGGCTGGCAGCAATTGCCAGCTTTCTAAGACCCTGTCCTACCCGCTAGAAAACCCTCCTGAGACTCCCTCCCCCTTAATCAGAGCCCTGAGGACCTTGAAGACCACGCCCACCTGGAGACTGTAGGTCCAGTTAGTCCCAGGTACTAAAAATGGAGCAGGAACGAGGAGCCCAATTGCACTCTGCATTTGCAAGGCTCTTCTCTAGGAGTCCAGGAGTGACAGTGATAGTGTCCTATAGGTGTGCTCTCCTGATGCAATGTAAACACATTTGGAGCAAAGGAGCCTACAACCTGCCGTGAGATTTCTCTGCAAAACAAAACAAAACAAAACAAAAAAGAAAACACTATCATGGAAATAGCCTTGACATCATCGGTTTCAGCTCAGTAACCGTCCAGGACCAATTTAATGTTCTTTAAAGCATCTTAAATAAGACACTTTTAATACCTGAAGGAGAAACAGATGTTCCCTGTCCCCCATGATCCTCCAAATGCCCGTCTAGAAAATAATTCCCCTGTTTGGGTCCTTTTGTTAGTCCCACCTGTATCTGGCCCAAATCCACAGACTGCAGTTCAGCGACTCTGTTCTCACACGTGTAATTTCACTATTTATATCATTCACCGAGAACAAGTTTCACACGCTTACTAAAAAACAACTGACTTCCTAAGCTTTGCTCTTGTAACACTGGCTCGGAGTCTCCCTTACCCAACATGTTCTTCCTCCCTCTCCTTCCCCTCAGGTTTCACCAGCCACACAACAGATGCAACCAACCCAGACCATACAACCGCCCCAGCCTACAGGGGGACGCCGGCGAAGGGTGGTGGATGAGGACCCGGATGAGAGGCGGAGGAAATTTCTGGAAAGGAACCGGGCTGCCGCCACCCGTTGCAGACAGAAGAGGAAGGTCTGGGTGATGTCACTGGAAAAGAAAGCAGAAGAGCTCACCCAGACAAACATGCAGCTTCAGGTGCGGTCCCCAGTCCCTTCCCCAAGCCTTGTCAGGGTTGGCATTTCCTGCCCTGCAGCCGCTTCTTGACCCACGCATTCTACCACACACCTCGCCTCAGAGGAACCCCCGGCCTCTCATCCAGCATCATTAAGTGCTTCGGTGCCATCAGTCCTCCCACAAGAGATGAGGGACGCGTGGACCCAAACACAGAAGCATGGCTTCAAGCCTGGGTTTGGCGGCTACTGGCTGCGCTAAGCTTTCTAGCTCTCGGTTTCCTCACGTGTAAATGGGAAACAACTTTAGCGCTGGGGGAAAGATGGGAGCTGATGTCCACGATGCAGTTAGAATGGTCCCTGACACGGAAGGCTTTTCATCTGGAAGCCATGGGGAACCACCAGGCTGAGGGTACCCGGGCATACACCCAGTTGTCTGTATTTTTGCTGTTTAATGGCAGAATATTTTATATGTTTGGTGGTTGTTAGCTTTGTGTGCTCTGAATGTAAAAGCTTGTTTTCATCTTCATTCCAAACTCAGGAAGGTTGGGATCTTGTGTGATTTTTGCTTTCCAGGGCCGGCACAGCTAGGGACATCCGTCGAGAAGCTGTTTCTGGGGTTGTCCTGAGCGATGAGGAAAGTAACCAATGTGTGGGCTTCTCAGGAGAACCCCAGCAGGTCGATGATGCCATTCATGCTGTTGGTTCTAACATCAGGAAGGTTCTCAAGAGAAAATGGCAATGAACTTGACATATGGCAAACACCTTCAGGGACCTTGGGAAGTGTTTTAGATTCAACCAGCCCTTTCCAGAGTTGAGAGGGACCCATGGACATAAGGAAGGGTGTAAGGTTACTTACTCAGCAGAAAGACTGTAACAACTTAGTGATTGATAGTCTCTCCAGCCAGTCTCAGAACTTGTCTTTGTTTGTTTGTTTAGAGACAGAGCATTGTGTAGCCCACAGTGGCCTTGAACTTGCTGTATATCTAAGGATGATTTCGAATCTCTGATCCCCTTGTCTCTAGCCGGAGAGTGCAGGCATTGCAGGCAAGTGACATCACACTCAATTTTATGCGGTGCCAGGGATCAAGCTTCACTAATGTTAGGCACGCTCTCTGCCACCTGAGTTTACATCCCCAGTCATCTGTGCATCCTTTCAAAGGAGCACTTGGGATGGCAAACCCCGGTGTCTTTGCATTGTGAGTTGCATTAAACAGAAAATGATCGTGGCATCCAGTGTACCAATCGAAAGCAGACAGAGGAAGATTGGTGTAGCTTCCTGAACTCAATAACGTAACATTCACCCCCCCCCACCTAAATATATCACCCTCTTTGTGATAGGCATGATGAAGTTAGAAAATGCACAGCCTGCATAAAAGTAAGATCAAATGCCAGTTCATGTATACTCTTGGGACCATATCTCACTGCGCCTTCTCCCTACTGGCTAGTCCCTATCCTAGCATAGGGCCTGCACAGGGTTTTTGTTTTTGTTTTATCATTGAACAAGCTCCCTGTCTCTAGAGTGTCCAAGTTGGCGGCCTGACCAACTTGGTTTGATTGCAGAGCGTCAAACCACAAAGCGGTGTCTGGAGCGAGACACCTTCAAAGCCACAGCTACACCCAGGCGGGGCAGAATAGTCTGTGAGGAGCTTTTAACAAGAGCGTGGATAAGCATTTTAGCATTCATGGCTCCATTTTCACTTTGACACGTGTTAAAAATGTTATTGAGGGATGAAGAAATGGCTTAGCAGTTAAAAGCACTTGCTGCTCTTCAAGAAGACTCAAGAATGGTTCGCAGTACCCATCTAGAGTGGTCCATGGCTGCCTGTGCCTCCAGTTCCGGGACAACCAGTGACCTCTTCTGGCCTCTTTGGAACCCATATACACATGACGTACATTCACACAGATATACACAAATTAAAAAAAAAAGCTAAAGTATGATTGGAACATGAATTCTACAGTTTCACAAACACTATTGGTAACTCATTTTATAAGGAGTTACTTTGTACAATATGTTAAATGAGTGAAGGCTCTGGGCTGGGCAGACACTGCACACATGGAGGCATTGGCTAATCAACGAGCGAAGCAGGAGTTACTTCCTTGCAGTTCTGAACTCTACAGGAGGATGGTGGAGACCCACAGGGTTCCCAATTTGAGTGCCATTGACTCTGGGAATCTTTGTTACATACTCTGAAATGTAGGCTGTTTCACGGCATCTTCCGTGACTAGGGTCAGGAGAAAGCCCCTCCCTCAGTTGCAACAACCAACCACATTGTCTGCAGACATTGCCACCTGCCCCCACCCCTCGATTGGAGTAGAGAGTGTGGTACAAAAGTCAGCTTCAGATGAGCGCAAGTTCTTTACAACAGCGCCGTGAATAGCCGGCAGACCCGTGTCAGATTCAAATCTTTAAATCGGTGTGAATTAAAATGAGTCCTTGCGGGGTTTCTCCGGGATCTTTGCTGCGGAGAGCCGCAGCAGAGAACTGCACAGAAAGATGCCCTGGAGTCTGAGGTCAGATGCCTTTGGGCCTTGACATGTACTTATTTATAACTGCTTTCAAAAAACATGCAAAGTACATTTACCCTTTGCTAGACACTAATTCACTGTGTGTGCGCGCACGCATGCTTAATATTTTAAAGCCCAAATAGCTAAGACAGCCAAGAAAAAGAGGTACTAAGTCCTAAGAACCGAGATTACAAAAAACAAAAACCTCAGCCCTAGAGAGTCTATGCAGCAGACTCTGGTAATTTTTGGTTACAAAATCAGTACAGGGAAAGACCACTTACTGACGATTTTCAACCACTGCTTGCCGCCGTGGGGCCAGAGGGACAAAAGCCACTGCAGCCCCGTGTTCTCTCTTGTACTGTGCATTGCATGTCATGCCCTGTGACACGGGGGAGAATGTCACAGCCTCTGCCACCTTTGGATGACCCTTTTCCATTCACCGTCAAAAGAAAAAGGTGTCTCTCTTGAGACTGGTTCCATGAGCCAGATTTTAAGTTTTTTTTTAAGTTATTTTTAAGAAATAGAAGGCGCTAACCAAGCAAAGTGCAGCCAGATGGAATAGCCAAGGTCCGAGGGGCCAGCTGCCACCTTTGAGTTGTTTTCCAGCATAGAACTTTCTGGTCAGGCTGCTGCGGAGCTCCCGGCTGGAAAAACAAGACCTGGGGAAACAGAAAGCAGACCCCAGTCTTCCTCGCCTAGTTTCATAGCAAATCTGTGCCCAAGAGGTCAACACAGGTGTAGGATTTAGAGAAACTTAGAAAAAGCCTAACCTGACATTTTACTATATGGAGAAATTGAGGTTTGGGGAGATGAGGAGTCACCCCAAATGTCAGATGACCAGTAAGTCTCAAGAGAGTGAGACTCGGGCAAACCGCCTGTGGCCCTAAGTCACTGCCTTGACATCTTTCCCTTCTAAGAAGCCCTTGAGCTGAGGGAGTCTGTGTCTGTGTGCACTGCGGTGACAGCTCGCTGCTGATGTGGCATTCCTAGGTCACTTGCGTTCGGTGGGGATATGGAAATCATCTGGTCACCCACCAAAGTAATTGCTTTTCCTTTTTAGTGCAGAGACACATGGTCTAAGTTGATGCTGAAATTTTAGACACACGAACCCAGGTCTGGGACTTGGCAAGGGAGCAGGCCAGATGGAAACTGTTGCCTGACAAATTGAAAGTCCTTTGTTTCTGAGGGGACCAAACCTGCCCTCAGCTAATCTGGAAAAGGGGGGAGGGGTTCTGGGCCCTTTGTGGCAATTACGTTTTTGGCACAAACTCCAGCTTATACCAAGAAGCACTGTGGATTTACCATATAACAAAATGACATTACCAAAGCCCCGAGCTGTCAATGTGCCTGTCAGGGAATTCTGAACGTGCCATTTAGAGGATATTATTGAAGTGTGGAACACCTCGGCATGATTGTTACCTCACCCCCAGGCAGATTTGTGGATTAAAATCACATCAGCATGACGGGATCCTGCACTGACCATCATTATCTAAATAGCTAACTGCTTTAAGAACAGCAACCTCAGGCTCGTTCCACAGCTGAAAGCGGAAAGGACGGACTTCAACCAGAGAGTGCGTTTGTTAGTTATACTTTGTTTTCAAAAAACTGTTTTTCTACAAGCACCAAGGTGAACTTCAAAGGTGAACTTTTTCCTCAGTTCATAAAGTGAGTTGATGCCTCACACAGTTCTGGCTTTTATTTCCTTGCTGAACTTCTAGGCCCAAATTGACTTCTTCCGTGCATTTCTGAGACCTTCGCTATCTGGTTTTTCTCGTACAAAATGAATTCAAGGTGATTCCAGTCCTCCCACCTTGAAAAAGATTTTGACTAGAAGCACAGTCTAGTGCTCGTGCATTCCCTGCTTCCTTCGTCTTTGGATGCGGAGTCCTTAGATGCCATGTGTGTGCACAGATCAGCCCATCTAGGACAGCAGCCTAGTCTCCTTTCCCTAGGACATCTTGCCCTTTGTCCACTTAAAGGGCCCTTGTGACATCTGATGAAGGTTCCAGACACTCTTTCTCAGTGCGAGTGCATATGTGCACATACACGTTCTCTCTCTCTCTCTCTCTCTCTCTCTCTCTCTCTCTCTCTCTCTCTTTCTCCCCCCCCCACTCCCTGTAATGAAACTATGACTATGCACTGTGTACTGTTAACATCTGATCATCCAAAGGGTGCTGGGGTTGGCCTGGAGTATAAGCACCTGGGCGAATTCCCAAAGTAGTTCTCTGGCAAATGAAGAGCGAGATCAGCTCCTTCGCTTGATAGTTAGGTAACTGGCTTTCTCAACAGAAAGGCAACACAAAATTCCCTCTGGAATAAGAAGCTGTCTTTCGGGGAAGAAATAAACCAGTCCAGCCATCTTGGTTTGGACGTGGCGGGGAGTGGTTTGGAAAGTCAGCCCCTACTACTGTCCTTAGAAGTGGTTTCATCTGTTTGACTCGCGGTGCCCGAGATGCAGTCCAGGGCCTTGCCTTTGTCAGCAGGCACTGTACCACTGAGCCACACCTTCAGCCCCCACACCTGACCATGCTGCTCAGCCCTAGGAACGAGCGGCTTTCCCCGTGGGTGGCTGTACGTGAATTCCAAGGCTCTCAGGCTTCTCCTTATTCCCCACAACATCAGAGTAATGTGTATTGAAGCCAGGGGCTGCTTACTTCTCTCTGATGATGTTCTTAGCTGGTATTCACTTTCCAACTGTGACTGAGCCAACTAACACAATTACTAACACGAGAAATATGTACATATTCAAGTATATCCTTAAATGACAGTCAGTTTTTTCCAGCACTCTGAGTCCCTACTTCTTTTTTAGATATCCTTTATATTTTATGTTATGTTTTTTCCCTACATGGATGTATATACACTATGATTGCATAGTCCCCATGGAAACTAAAGAGGGCATTGTTGAATGCCCTGGAACTGGAGTTAAGAATGGTTGTGAGCTACCATGTGGATGCTGGGAACCCAAACCAGGTCCTCGCAAGAGGACTGAACCATCTCTTCAGTCCTTGTTCCTGCATCCTTACACAACTTTACATCACTCAAGATCTCGGTTTTTCTACTTACAACATATTGGTTAATTAATGAACCAAATGCTGCTGTGGCATAGTTTTAGTCAGAGACCTGAATGTATGTGCTGCTTCATAGTACGGTGGCTCTGTGGAAACAGAAAGTGTATTGTGAAAGGGTTTAGGATGTGTTCCTGCCCAGTAATGTGGAAAGCTAGCCAATGGCATTATTGGTGTTTCAAAAAAGAAGCAATGGACACACCCTGACCACAGCTCAAATGTTGCCTATAAAGGGTCAACTGCCCAGGACACAGCGTGGGGACAAAATGGAACCTGCATTCAGCTTCTCCAAGTTGGCCAACGACCTTCAAACAGGATTGATTTCTAATTCAAGAAGTGTTAAGAAAGCAAAATGATCAAGTTTGGCTTTGTTTGCTAATTTTAAAATTACTTAGTTTATTGTGGGGTGTGCCTGTGCCAGGTCACACGTGTTGAGATTGGGGTAACCGTGGAAGTTGATTCTCTGCTTCACCATGTGGATCCTCACTCCTGGTGGCAAGCACCCTTGCCCACTGAGCCACCCCCATGTTTGGTCTTCATACTTTGCTACTTGTTTTCTGCACCATGGTAGAAAAGGGGTAGGGGTTTTGTGCCATTTTCTAAGTGCCATTGTGTGCATCATCTGCAGCTATACGTTTTGCGGGGGGCACAGGTATCAGGAGTTGTGTGTTCAGAAAATACATCATTGCTAAAGCTCACATGTCATGGGACATTTCATCTTGATGTGTGTGCGCGCAAATATACACACGTCAGAGTTCTCGGTTTCAGTTTGAGTCGTTTGATTTTATTTTTAAACAGGTTTCTAAAGAAAAAAATCTATATAGTAGTCTAAAGGTGACTCTGGCATACTATTTTAAAGACAAGGAGAGCTTGGCATGGGGGCATACAAAGAAGGTTATTTAAGCATCATAATTCAGGTAGAGTTCAAAGAAGAGCTGGTTGATGACTGATGGGGATTTCCCTGTAAAATAAAGTTGCTCCAGAATTGCCAAATGTCACTTTGGGCGACGGCTATCTATCTTACTATCTATCATACTTACTGGAAGTAGAAGGTACCATTTACCTTCATGAATGCTCTTAGATTTGAGAGCAATTTTCCTGTACCATTAGGTGACTTATTCATATTTAGGTGAATTTCTCGTTATTACCATTTTTGGTACATTGAAGGAGAATGGGAAAACTTTTGCAGTTGAGACATTTGTTACTTTATTAGCAATCTATTCAGTGTGCAGTTGAATCCAGTGCTCCAAATGCATTTACAGGTAGGAGATAGTTCTTTAGAGGAAAAAAAAATAGTTTCAATTTTTCAAGTAACTTCTAGACTTCTAGGAATGTTCTTCTCTAGTTTATTTGTGCCTGGAAAAGTCAAATTTGTGTCCTGGGTATCACCAAGCTCATTGTACGTTGTACTATTTCTGGGTCCATCTTCTAAATGCTGAAAATGAGGTCGGTGGAGGGTAACCAAATTGTGTTTTCTATCTCAGATTGATTGGTCAGTCAGTGAAGAGCGGGGCTTCTCACCTGTTTAACCTGGTTCCAGGGCCCATCCCTTAAAAGGGATAATCTGCTCTTTTAAATAGCATTCAGTTCCTGAGTTAAACTCTGGTCTCTTCAAAAGACCCATAGCAAAGTGAAGGAAAACTACAAAATTCAGATCCAGCTCTCCAAATAATATTCTCAATGCCAGTTAGACACAAGCAGTACCGTTGGATAATTTTGTTGTTGAAAGTGGGTGGGACTCTGCCCTTGCACTTTTCTTGCCTTCTTAACACAGTTTTAATATGTCTTTTTAGAATGAAGTGTCCATGTTGAAAAACGAGGTGGCCCAGCTGAAGCAGCTGTTGTTAACACATAAAGACTGCCCGATCACCGCCATGCAGAAAGAGTCACAAGGATATTTAAGTAAGTCACCGTTTCATTCTTTAGAAGCCGCGTTTTTTCTTTAATCACTAATTTTGCATGGCATTTTATTAAAAGGGAAAAACACAGTCTAGGTTGCACACCCAGGAAGATATACTGGAATTACTAGTGATTACAGGCTCTCCTGCAGGGGAGGGGGGGCAGTCTTTCCTGACTTCTCCAACACCATGCCCACCACTTCCTGATAACTTCTGGCTGTACTTTCCCTAGCATTTTTGCATTGCCAAATTCCAGCCTTGAAGCCAGGAAGAAACTAGTCTGTGGGGGTCCAATTACCAGCGGCCTGTTGATCCAGCTGAGAACTCTGCGGGCTGGGAGGTAGCACTGGGTGAATCACTTTTAGTGTCTCAAGAGATGCCCCCTGTGGCCCACCAGTCTGGCAAGTTCCTGGGCTGTTCGAGTTTGCCAACAGACAAAGTGGGGCCCCTTTCCCTATCTGCACTCTCTGCAGTACACTCAAGGCTGGTTGTATAAGGGATGGTGGGAGGGAGAATGATTCACGGCTGAAGGTCAATTTGTTTTCAAATAATTTTTTAGATTGAGCAACACAGATTCTTCCACCACATGTGAGTATTTTTCCACATTTAATATACGAATGGCTATCTGGAAATACAAGACGGGGAAGTTCACACGCAAGGGCTCACACACAAGGAGTCATTTTTTTTACTGATGGAGAAAGTATGGTTTTACACGTAGCTATAAACCTGGAAGGATTAGCTTTGTGGTTTCAGTTTAAAATGAAGTTTTGGCTGTACCTTCCAGAAGAAAATGTGTGAAACTCTTCTACACGAAGTGAATGTCTAATAACGTTTTTACGTGTTCCCAAGGAGTTCCCACAAGAAAGAGCTATATTTGTGTGTGTATGTGTGCTCTCTCTCCTAGGTCCAGAGAGCAGCCCTCCCGCGAGCCCTGTCCCAGCATGTTCGCAGCAGCCAGTCATCCAGCATAACACCATCACTACGTCCTCCTCGGTCAGCGAGGTCGTGGGGAGCTCCACCCTCAGCCAGCTCACGACTCACAGAACAGACCTCAATCCTATTCTTTAAAAGGCAGTGGTCAGACCAGGCCCCTGAGAAGAGCTGGACCATGCCATACATCCTTTCTCCAAAGGGCATTTTTAGAATTCACTCAGACCAGGAAGACGCCTCAGCCCTTCAAAGACTGGCTTTCCTTTTTATAGTTATTATGGAAATGTTGTCTTTTATACTTAGTTATATAAGAAAAAGGGAGTTATGCAATGAATATCTATCAGCTTGGGAAGCGTGCTGGTGCTTTTCTCCGATTTTCTGGTACCAGTTTCTTGTTTATAAACGGAATCTTTCCTGTATATAGCCATAGTTTCAATCTTACCAGTCCAACCCTTTGCCTGGAACAACGAATCTTGTTAAAAACTACAGCTTTTAGCCAAAATGAGGTATACTTCGATGTCAAGTGCGATGGATCCACAGGAACGGGGTGGGAAATCTGGTGATGTCATAACTCATGTTGAGTTTATGCTGTGACGTCACCAGAACCTCAGATAAACGCATGGGCTTTCCTGAGTTTGTTTTCTTGCTAGGAAAAAAAAGAAAGTATGGTCCATCGTTGTCCCAAGAGAGCCACCAAGCATCTCAGGCCCTCCCCTGCTCTTGATCACTTGCTCAGATGTCCAATATTCTTCTCCACTGCCACTTCCCTGGGTTCTCTTGGCTTTGCCTTTCCCCCTTTAGCTTTGCATGTGAAGAAGAAAATAATGTTTAAAGAGGGAAAAGAGCAAATCTTGAAAGTATGGACCTAGCCATTGCTTCGCTCGAGCTTAACCCACAGCTGGAGTCCATTCGACTGTTGCCTTTCACAAAATAGCAGCCAGGAGATGTTTAATGTGCCTGATTTAATGTTTTTAATAACCAGAGCAAATAAAAAGCGATTTGGTTATAGGTGAAGCACTATTGAATGCCAGCTGTGGAGACACTAGGGAAAGGAACTTTGTAAGCCCCAACTGTGAAAGTTCAAATTAGGACGTGGGCTCTGACATCACACCCTCGAATTACAACTCGTTTCTATGGCCTGTCTATAATGTTGAAAACCCCATGCACTATATAATAGTTCAGAAGGGCTCTGTTCACTACACAGATTACATTGTTCAATCATCAGCTGCTAATAGCCTAAGATTTATTATTATTTTTTTTTCCTAAGCCTATGGAACCAGCTCTGCTATTCTGGTGGGCAAAAGCAGGTTCACTCCTAGAGACGGAGAGGGAGAAAACAAGGCTTGTAGTCTGTCGGGACAGACTCTCCGGTTGCCAATCGAGTTTCGTGGAATTGGCCAGGCTGATGTGCTCTTATGGACGGTTCTGATTCATATTTTCAGCATCTTCCATGGACCTGCTCATGATGGAAAGCAGATCAAACCCAAACCACAGTTGTGCCTCCTTGAAACAAGCCATTCTACCGCTCTGCTGGTGTTCTGGTATCATGTGTTTCTCACTAGCAGTCTAGGCGTACGCTGGTGTCTCATCTCCGCCCAAATACTACTCCACCTCTAACCTGTGTGTGTGGGTGTGGGTGTGTGTGCCTGAGCGCGTGTGTGCGGGGATGTGTGTGTCTATGAACAGTATAGGTTTTAAAAGAGCAGTATTTTACAGAGGCTGTCACTTTTATAAGAGTTCAGTAAAGGAAGGATGTACTTTTTCGCTCACTATAGTTTAAAAAAATCTATTTTAGAGGAAAAAAAGAAAATGTGAGGGCTCTGAAGCATGACTTTTATAACTAGGTTCAGTTTTATCTAATAACTTACTTTTAAAATCAATATTTATCAACAGTTTTTTTTTTCCATGTATGCTGTGCTTTTGAGAGACAAGTTTGACTGTTCAGTAAAGCTTAAGACCTGGATATATGACCTAAGAATAAGAAAACAAATGCAAAAAAAAAAGTAAAAAAGAAAAAAAAGAAAGAAAAAGAAGAATGAAAAGGGGAGAGAGAGGATGGGATGAGCAGGATTTTATGTTGTATTTTAGGGAATGTAAAGTGTATCATTTTTCAAGTATTTTAAATACTGAATTCATATTGTTATTATTTTTTTCTGAATTCCAGCAGTAACAGAATGGTTTAACCTCACTGGCTTCCTAGAAATGTTTAAGACTTACATTTGAAAGAAGTTCATATTCATCGCTCTGGTTTGAAATCAAAAATAATTTTCTGCAAAATTCCATTCTTAGACCATGTAGACATTCTGCTCCCCTCAAAAGACAAGGGGGGGGCAAGTCAGGGTGGAGGAGCTAGTGTCTATTATCTCCCATTTGCTCTGAGTAAGCAAGACCCTTTCCTGCCCGCATGCGTAGCACTCAAAGGAAGGGATTTCTTTTTTAAATCCACTGGTAACACCACAATGTCCAGGGAGGGGCCTGCCTCTGAAATGACGATTTTGAGTTGACTTCTCTCCCACCTCTAAGGCTGAAATCCTTAGCTGTTAAACAGGCAGGCTTTGCAGCTAAGAACTTGCCTGCGTTTTCTTAATTCAGCGGCTCGACAGCTTGACTGATGTGCGTTATTTATAGCTCAATTATGTCTGTTTTTTATGCTAAGTAGGCAAGCCACCACACACAGCAAACCTTTCTCAACATATAATTAGAATAAACTGCCTTCTTGCTACGTGCAGGGGCTGTAGGTGTGTGTGTTTGCAGCAGGGAGATCCTGCAGAGAGGGCTCCAGCTTGTCAGGACTCCCTACAGTCCTGAAGAGAAAAACTTCTCTCGGTGACACCTAATTCCTGGTCCATCCCTAGTAAAGATTCCACATAAAGGTCCAGCCTTCATTGGATGGCAGAGCCTTCCTGAAACGACCCTGGCAGTGCCCGCCACACACCGGCCACTCCAGGAGAGTATCCTTTAATGCCATAATCTTCTCCCAGCCAGTTACCATGTCAGCCATGCAGACTCTTGGTGAATTGGAGATAATGGTCATTGGAGTCCTCCATCCAAAGGATGGAAGCCCCAGCAACACTACCCCTCCTAAGTCCTGTGTGGCTGCATCACCACAGGATCCACTTCTAAGGTCCTTGTCAGCCTCCCGGGCGCTTCTCCAGTCCCTCCCTGCCTGCTAATGTACCGAGAGCTGGCAACTTAGTTCACCCCAGAGCACTTCTGCCAGGTGGCTTCTCCCCTAAATAAAGGCTTTGTTTCTCTTTGCCGCCTTCCTTGATCTATGATTTGGCGGGAGGTAGATTGAAAGCCCAGCCCTGGGTGAAGGTACTAATCTCAAAGCTAGATATCGAGTTACGTGTGGTCCCAGGTGATCCTTTCCTACCCTTCTGTCAACATGTACAGGTTGCCATAGTAATCCAACCTGTTGGAGTAGTATGTGTGTCATCACGGTGTGCATTGTGAGAATTTGGGTGACTGACTCAGCCTGTGCTCCTTGGAGCTTATCTGGTCAAGGAATAAAACGCAGTGCATGTTCCAAGAGAGCTGTCGGTGGGGAGTGTTCAGGTGTCTGTTGTCTGCTAGTAAAGCAAATTGTAGTAGCTTAGAGGTCGACATTAAAACCATAAACCAGCTTCAGAAAAAAACAACAACAAACAAACAAACAAACAAAAACAGCCCTTAGCTGGAATTACTTTGAAGCACCAGTAACTGCCCTAAAACTAGCCTTCCAGTTAGGGTAGAACGTCCTTCTCTTTGAGTGATGAAGCCATCTGAGAAAATATGTATGTATGTATGTGTATACAGTGGGATTCAAGGACCAAAGCAAAATTTGAACAGGAATCTATTAATTTAGAATTATAAGATATTTATTAATAAATGTTATTTTAAACATTCCATTTCAACAGTATTTTTCAGTAGGGTCTACGTGTCTGGAAAATATTAGTCCATAATAAACTACCCTAGTAAGGGTGCTGTTTTTTCAGGGCCGTGGATGGCTATTTCCATCCCCGGAAGCCCACGCTTAGACCTCTGTGCGTGGACCTTTGGAGGCTTGTTTGCTGCTCTGAGTTACTGGTTAATCTACATTCTGAACAAGGTTGGCTTTTTTTTTTTAAAGGATTTCTTCTTTTCATGTTTAAAGTAAGCGCTTTCATGTAGAAAGCAAATTCAACTGAAGGGCGTTGGTGACGAAAACCAGATAGCTATTTTATTTTATTTTATTATTTTAATTTTTTGTATAAAATGCCTTCCTCCTCCTTCTCGTCACTGCACAACCACCTCCAAGAACACCTTGCACTACTCAGCTCCCTGGAGCTGCCTGGGTCCTCACGAACAGCGTGCAGTGGCTTTAAGTCTTTCCAGCTCCATCCCATCGCCATATCTGAAGGGGAGGGAGGTCACCTGCCCTGGGTAAAGCCGTGCCTATGCCGCAGCAGTGGTTTAGAGCCTCTCTTCTGCTTCGAAACTAATTCCTATCTTAAAGTTGCACTTTAGCTCTTTGATCCCTTCCCCTTTATCTGCTTCTCTCCTTAACCTTTCTTGACCTTCGACTTGCCTTGGCTCCACCCTATACAAGTGTTCTGTGAAGGCTCCACGCTGCACCATTTCAAGTACTTTATAGACCATTTACACCTGGCTCATGGGTGCGCACTCACTCTTAGCACGGCTGAGCGGCGCTTCTCACAGCCTCCTGAAGCCTGCTCCAAGAATGTCAAGAAGAGCCAGTGCACAGTATGATTTATCCCCTTGATCTCCTTCTTCCTTGCATGGTTTTGAAAATTGCTATATTATGCAACAGATGTGGGCAGCAACTAGCTATGCTTACAATTTTCTATCTCATCCTCCGAACCAAAGTGTCCTGAATAAGCCAGAAGACTTCTCCGCTCGTGTGCCGCGGCGCGCAGTGCACACTCCTCTCTTGTCCTTAGCCTCTGTCACTAGCCAGAGTCTTTGGCAGGCTGTGGAAGCAACAGGGGCCCTGTCCTCTCATTCCTAGGTCTCAAAAATACAATGTTGCCTTGTAGCATGATCAAGGACAGCACCTCTGTTTTATAATCCCAGCCTACAAGGGATCGGAAGACAAAGGAGCAATAAACTTACGAGTAAAACAATCCCATACCAAAACACACACAGAGAACTTCTCAAATCAGCCTAGCTCATCGTGTTGTGTGATCACAGAAATATGTCCCCGTGTTCAAAGTCTCTTGCTATTATTCCTTGTGGAACTTTTCAGTGATGTAATGCTTGTAGCCAAATTGCTTAAAGAGTGTTTATATATTTTTTCCTTATAAATCATCTATTTTTTGAAAAAGAAAAAACCTATTTAACTGCAAACTAAAGATAGAATAAAGCCAAATTGCCAGCATTTGTTCAAACGTTAATACCAGTAAGTGGGCCTCGGATGCCTTCCACGCTTATCATCAGGAAGGAATCAATAATCAACTGCTATATTTAAACCAAGTTAAAGCATCTTGCTCATTAGAAGTCAAGACTTAGGAATTTCTTCCTAAGCCATTTAAGGTTTCCCTACATTGGGGTTTATATTGTAGAACTTTATAGGGATTTTTTTTTTTGTAAACATAAAATCACTTCACCTCACATTGGAGAATGTGGGACCCGAATAAATTAGCTTTAACTACATCATTAAAATCTTCCACACAATCAATGCATTAGATTCTCATTTGCTCCTTTATAATGCCCCACACCTCTGAAATTGCAAGAGGAAATAGCGATGTCCCATGGAGGGAGTTAAGGGAAGGGACTCCTCCCAAGCAGCTGTGGGCAGGAAGACCTTCCCACCCCTTCCTTTCCAAGATCTCTGTTAGTTTCATCTGCAGAGAGGAATGCTGCCTTTTGAAGATTGTCTCTGAAGGGAAAAAATAAGCTTGAAATGTTCTCTGAAAAGACCCACAAGTAATGGCTCCATTCAAACACAATATTCTAGGACAAATGGAATAGAAACACTGTCCAAAAACGTAATAGAAAAAAAGTTTAGCACTGTGTAAAGTATGTGTTGGCTGAAAAAGCCCCCACCCCCCGATAAAGGTGCCGTCACTTTAAGTTCTGGACTTGGGGTTGTTTGTCATTGTAAACAGCAAAACCTTTGTGTTTGTGTGTCTGTCTGTAAAGCAACCACCTTCCAATTGGAGGGAGAAAAAAACCCTGGGGGGTACATATGTGTAAATACTTGCTGCAGCCTTTTAATGTGTTTAATTCTCTGTTTTGCTTTGTGTTGCATTGTGAACGCATTTATTGTTACCAGTGGACACTGAGTTCATTGAGACTGTTCGACTAGGTCAGATTTTTACTTCTCTTTCTAGCAAGAAGAGACAAGATTTTGTGCATTTGTACAAATGTTAATATCACCGCAATTCCAATATAATAAAGCACTCAAATGCAAGTCATGTGTGGGGCATTTGCATAATGGAATTTGGGCTCGGAGATTAAGGCATCCGTTCTGCATACAGTCTCAGACTGCCTGGTGAACCGGGGCTTGCCCCCAAGGTTGCTGTTGTGTGAGGGAAAGTCAGGGAGAGGGTTTCTCCTTCCCAGAGTATCTCTGCATGCCTCCTTTTCCATCCAGCTTCTCATCAGAGAGCGCTGGTAACAGACTCTTATTGGCCTGGTCACCCCTGTACTTCACTTAAGGAAGGCAAAGCTTTGCGATCTTAATGCCAGACATCTTCCGTTCATGTTCCAATTATGTTGAAGAATCAAGAAGCCATTGTTGGCCCCGTGGGAGTTCTCCCCTTGACCCATCCCCGAGTGTGGCAAGGCTACTTGAGGAACCCTAGATGGTTTCCTCCTCCTCATTTATGGTGTTTTACTCCTTTATTCTTTTTAAATAATTCTCTTACCTGGTTTTCTGATACTCTATGTCGTTAGACCTGAGGGAGACTGAACTGTTGGCACAGTCAGAATTCTTGTGTAAATTCCTTGAAACCGGTATTACTGCAGTTTAGTCCCCGAGACTCTGAAAGGTTTCTTATGGGGCCACTTCCACTTTCCTGTTCTCAGGGCCAGAACTGCTCACTCATTCTCTTCTTGAGTAAGTAGAGAGATCTTAGCTCACTCATAGTTTTCACTCAGTTCTCACCTAGCGAGAAAACTGATAGTTCACATCGTATCTGGGTAATCCATCACGATTGCATTCACATTAGCTTCAAAGGGGCATGCGTTACGTATACCTGGTGTGTCAGCTTTGATCTTCATTTTCCTCTAGGCAAATTAAGTTTGCTTAAAGAGGAAGAGCCCTGCCAGGAAGGCTCCAGGGATAAAGGAATTATTGGACGGATGCGAAAGGTATTGCACAGCATCAGCACCCACCGGATCCTGTACCAGTTCTGATCAGGAGGCCCCTGGGAAGACAATACTGTCGGTTCTATGTGTGTCGCTGGAGAGACTGTGTTCTTGTTCTGCGACCTACTTTGTTTGCTCAGTCATTTCTATGGCTCCACCGCTTCTGATGGCCTCACCCAACCGTCTATTCAGAGTCTCTCAATGCAAACCTCCCAAAGGAGCTCACAATGCCTCTGTCTTTCTGTCCCTGGTCCCTAGAAGAGAGAACTTGCTGACACACAGTGGACCAGTGGACCAGGCTTTTTCCCCATCAGCTCTATCTGGGGAAGCGGGGTGATGGAGGCTGAAACCTCTGACATCTGAGATGGAGAGGATTTCTCAAAACGGAGGGCGGAGAGAAACGGTGACTTTGTGAAGGTCACTGCTATTTCTAGATGTACCTTATAGAAAGCAGGTCCCCCAGCTGTCAAGCATGTCTTGGGGTGAAAGCTTAGTGAGAAGACAAGCATAGCATCATATGCAAGGCAGATGTTAGCAAACGTTTGTCACGTGAATGCATGCATGAATTAATGAATGATGGATTCTTTCTGTATTAAAAGCGTAGGGCTGAAACAGAGCGTTTATTGAAGATTAAAGGCAAGGCTGGAGAGTTGGCTCAGCCATTAAGAACACTTGTTGTTCTTGCAGAGGACCTGAGTTCAGTTCCTTGCACTCACATGGCGGCTCACGTCTGTCTGTGACTCCAGTTCCAGGCGATCTAAAGCCCTCTTCGGGTCTCAGAGGGCACCAGGAAAATTAGAGTTTTATGTACACACTCATTAAATTAAAAAACTTTTTAAAAGTTTGAAATAATTTTATATAGCTATTTTTTTCTGTATGTCGTGACTCAGTTTATGGGTCTTGATAAAGATAGGAATCACCCCTCACTAAGAGAGTTAGGGCAGGGTAGAGCAAACTAGAGTAAGAATTGGTGACTCTGTATGTTAACATCACAGCCCTAATGGTGTCCTGCAGCCCTGGACAGGGGCTCACCTCTGGGTTTTATACCACTCCCTTGTCAGGAAAGCACACTCAGAGGGAAGTGGCCCAGCTCCCACAAAGAAGGCAAAGCTCCAAAGAGTGTCCACAGATAAGACCCTGTCTCTCCAGCCACCCGGTGTCTCAAACTCAAGGTCCCTAGACTAACAAGCCACTGCCACTCCCCCACCCCTCCCACCCCACTTCACCCCAGCCCCCAATTTACAGAAGTATAGTAGGTATTTGCTCCACCTTGGGCTATCTGACTCGTTAGAGGCCATGCTTCTTGTGACCCCTTATAAGGAAGCAAAGAGGGTAGTCATGTTCTCTTGGGTGGTGAAGACCGAATCAGGTGGTGTGAAGGAGCATGTCATCGGTCCCCAGATTTCCAAGGACTCTACAAGTGGATTTATTGTAGTGATATTTCATTTGTATTTTAATAAATAAAGCTTGCCTGAAGATCAGAGAGTAAAACAATCACTCTGGTCAGTCTTACAGACCAGGTGGTAGTGACACACACCTTTAATCCCAGAAGCCATGCTAATTTGCCATAGAAACCAGGAAATAGTGGTGCACGCCTTTAATCCCAGCACTAGAGAGGACTATAAGATGGGAAGAAACAACTCTCAATCAATCTCATTCTGAACATTCCTGGAGGCAGGATGGTCATTTCAGACTAAGGTAGAAGCAAGAGCCAGAAGCTGGCTATTTTGCTTTTCTGACCTTCAGATTGAACCTCAATATCTCTCTCTGGGTTTTTATTAATCGTGCTACAATTTGTCATATGCTGTATTCATGAATGTATTTCTTCCCTTTTGTATCTTAATGAATCTTTGATATCCCTTAAACAGATGCATGTGAATTTCTCATAACGCAGAAGAGCTGTGGGCCCCAACATTACAAATGGGGAACCTAGAATGAGTTCTCCCCTTCTTTCTTTCCTCTTTTCCTCTCCCCTACACCCTTCCCTTACCACCCCTTTCCTCTTATTTTTCTCTGTGTCCACTTCTCCTTTCAGATAAAAAGATATAAAACTTGGGGTCAAGAACCATGTCTCTGCCAAATGGAGTTCAGTGGTTACCAGGGAGAGACATGAAAGCACACGTAGGAAGTTTAGAAGCTGGGGATGGAAAGAGGGCCCATTCTGAGTTCTGCCCTCAAGCATGATGCTGCCGGGGGAGCCTCGTCAGTGTCCATCAGATAAATGGCACCATTTGTCTGTCGTGGTTCAAGTAGGCTTCTGTCACTTGGAAGCAGAGAGGCCTAAACAAGGTTCTAGAACTAATGCTACTTTGGAAAGCCACATTCCTTTGGGTGGGTGCTACAGCTTTAATGCCGCCCTTCCATGTGAGCCGGGCAAGACTCCTCGCTCCATGAGCCAGGGTAGAGGAGAAAGTGGGCTGGAGGTGGCTTTCTAGGTGGAATAGCTTATATATCCCACACTAATTTCACAGACACCAAGTCCAATTTTAAGTCTTCCTTAAACCATGCATGCAAAATTAATATTCTGCTTGCTCGGGAATGCTGTCTTAGCACCTTGGTGAGGGAAAGGAGGGGGCGTTGAGGGGTCGACCAAAAGTAGCGATCTATAAAAGAGCCATAAGGAAATCTGGCAGTTGGTAAGCTAATTAAAAGTAAAACAAATGGAATGTTTGGGATGGGGAGATGGCTCAGTGGGTAGATCACTTGCTGTGTAAGCACGAACTCACCTTCCCAGAAGTGACAGAAGTCATTTTGGTAGCGCATACATTTGGAACTCATCTGGAGTACCCCAGTACTCCAACAGTGAGGTAGGAGGCCAAGTCAGAAGATGCCCCAGGAGCTCTTGAGCCAGCCAGCCTGGTATATGCAGCAGCAGTGAGACCTGTCTCAAACAACCAGAAAGGAAGGACTGACACCCAAATTTTCACTCTGACCTTCAGGGGTATGGGTGTGCTGTGTCCAGGATCTCCCCAATGCACACAAACACATCCAGACAAAAATTAATAAGTTGTTTGAATGACTATACCCCTAGTGCCGTAGACTCTACCGGAGGATGGGCGATTTACACCTGGTACCATACACTCAGTCAGAGTCATGTGGCTAGCCTGGTCACAGGCCTTGTAAGGAAGCTGGAACGGTAGTTTTTCTAAGTGGATATGGTGTGCCTATTAAACTGCCTTCTAAATTACGATGTTCATGCCCATAGATTAGTGCCGCTGTGGATGGCTTGGTCAGAGAAGCTTTTGACAGCAGTCAGTGGTAAGCACAGGCTCAGAACTGGTCAAAATGCTGGGGATAAGTGACGGATGAAAGGCCAGTCACAAATGGAACCTCTGCAGCACCCCCTTCAAGACTCAGGAAACATCTCCATGGAAGAAGGGACAGAAAACATGGAAGAGCCAAAGTAAGTGGAGGGAGTCCAACTTCCAAGCCCACGATGGCAAGGTGACTGCTGTACCCCTGAATTCACAACAGCGGTAATTGTTTACACAAGACTGGGCCCACAGATACATGGTCATGCAACAGGGACGGGCTCATGAGGCGCTGTCACTCCACGGGGATTGTATGCAGCTCACGGTTGCCAGGGAAGGACAAACAGTTTTTCACGGGTGTAGCCACAGGTAGGTGCTCACCCACCTGCCGTTTATCATGTCTTTCCCATTACTATCCCTTCACCCATTCTCCTGCGATCAACCCGAAGGGAACTCATCAGCTGATTATAAAAAGA